ATAACTTATCGACTTCGGCCGAATAGACTTCGGAAAATTTTTTTAGGGTGTCCCAGAATTTATGAAAACAGCTGTAAAGTGATCATTATGTCAATTTTGCCGAAATTCATTATGCATAAAGTAGGTTCCGCATAGAATCCGGTCCACATTTGACCGTTTTCATAAATTCTGGACACCTAAAATTTGAAACCTTATCGATCTCTGTCCTGTATTGAAGTTCCAAGGACAGTGAAATAGTTTTCGAAAGTTAAATTTTCAGGTGCCTCAGAATTTATGAAAACAGTTGTAATCGGCTTCAATGATAAGGATAAAGATGGCGATATTCCAATCAGCTTAAAATCTGGATTATCATTTTACATAAATTTCTGAGGTCAGGTCCAAGGCGAGAATTCATATTAGTGTCCAAACCCGGTCCATACAGGAAAAATTCATAGGATAGTCAGAACCCTATTGCCAAGTTCAGGTTTTTTTTTGCTTAAATGCAGAAATGATCATCACGATTATTTTTTTTAGTCAATATGATATAAATCGTAGAGGGAAGCCACAACTTAAGTCCAAGAAAATCGAATTTGAAATTTGAAATTTGAAATCCGGTTCCAAACTTTGTGTGTTTTACCACAGATATTATCAAGCACTGGATATGTTACAGTTTCTGTTTAAAAATTACCCGGTGCATTAAATTTCTGGTTTATAATTATTTATATGATTCTATTAACTTACAGTATTCGCTCGGCTCAGGTGGCAGCTATTTTTTCCGGATCTATACCTCCTCTTAAGTAAATATTATACGCTGTCTATTGTGATGAAATGGCTGTTTACCAGAAGTATTTTGCAGATCAGTATAGTATAGGTGGGCAGATTAGTATAGTGTAGGCCGATTTTTAAATCTATACTATACGGACCAGGTATTATATATATGAGCGTTAGTTTCTATAAATTTGCCTGTACTATACCAGATACTATATACCATACGTACTGATATGCTATAATTTCCAAACAAAAATAGTATACTTACATGCCACGTGGTGCATATACGTACGTACGGCATCCACTTATTTGTGCCGGTAATACAAACCTCTAAAAAGGAAATGGCCAATCGGAGAACGCAAAATGTGATGATCCCGGATCAGCACGACACGTGAGCAAAGCGAAGAAAAAGAGAAAATACTCAAAAACTAGTGTAGTTTATTTACAAATGCGATTTCCTTTTTTGGGGTCCCTTAAAGCGGGGCAGATTACGTTATAATTAACCAATCAAATTGTTAAAATTTGATGATCCCGAATCAGCGCAAAACAAGCGAAAAAAAGAGAAATATGCGAAAAATAGAAGAAACTGTAGTCTAAACCCACCTTGCAGTATTAACAAAAAATGTCGGGAAGGTAATTTTACCTATAGAAACTACCCTAACACTAACCCTAACTCAAGGTGGGCCTAACCCTAAAGTTAATGAAAACGGTATTTTACATGATCTGCCCCGCTTTAAGGACCCCCTTTTTTGGGTTGTATTACCGGCGCGAATAAGTAAATTGCATCTTTTTCACTATCGCTAAGTAGATCTAATCTAATCGATAAACCAAGCCACATTTATTATTTTTTTTTTAAGGCTATGCAAAAATACGTACAAATTCGGTTTTTAAAAACAATAATAATATAACTTCTAACCATTTTTAAAAAATCCGACATAGCCACAATATATTTGGTATTGGTTGATTCTTGGCATTTGGTTTATGTAACGTAACAAATTTCTTTAAGCAAATGATAGATAACAATACGATGAATACATTAACTCACTAATAATAAAGTTAGTATTATTATCTGTATCTGTAAATAAACGTTTTTTGAATAGTCTTTATTTAGAACGGTTCATGTAATGGCTTTAATACATAAAATGCATTAATTCACTAATGATAAAGTTAGCATTATAATATGTACATGTAAATGATGCGTTTTAAGTAGCCTTTATTTGGAACATTTTATATAATGGCTTTAATACGTGTCTATAGATCCAGTCAAATCACTTGGTCTGAGCAAATAAAATCAGACACATGTTCATAGTTTCAGTCATGTGAGAACAAATTCAGTTCTGATAGCGTAAAGTAAAAATTAAAAATGTCGTCCATGCACGTCCATGCATTTCGTGCGTACAATAAAAAGGTATGAAATTCGTGTTGTTAAATATATGCGTATGAAAAAGGACATACGATTGTCTGCCCACAGCCACATTACTTCATACTTTAACAATATTCTTAATGCATAGCCATAGATGAGGATTCCTGGCTGGGACTTTTTCATCGTTAAAGAACGAAAAAAGAAACAAGATACGTGTGTACATGCGTTAGATCGATCTCACCCAGATCTCGTTGTTAATTCTGTCAGTTAATCCTTTTTATTAAAATAATTTAACAAACTAGGCAGTTTGTATGACTTTTTCTAATTTCATGCTATTTCTTGAAGCGTGAGAATTCTTTTTCTTTCATAGCAAACAGATCAACCAATCATAAGAATTTGACAATGAAAACATTAAATTAGAGAATCAGAGAAAATTTGAATATTATGAATCAAGAAAACTTGAGGCTTTGATTAGAAAGCGTAGAATGAAAGTGAGTATGGGTGAATCGGTGAATCGAATATTATTCAAACATGTGTACATAGAGGAATCAATTAGTTGTATAAAATTTTGTATGATTTCTATGACCTCCAACAAGTATATAAACAGCACCTCGCTCGATACTTTCTCTAAAATTCATCAATTACTTTTATTTATTATTTAAAAAAAAACAATTGAAAATAAATAATAAGAAATAATAATGAAATTCGCATACGCATCGCTTTTAGTTTCCGCTATTCTCGCTATCTCTACTACTGCTGCCCCTACAGCAGCGAGAAATAGTATGAACTTATTTACTTTCGTTTTTTAAAAAATTTATGCAAAAATATTCATAAAAAATAACCAATTTTTTTTTATTCAGAAAAACGTGAAGCAAAGCCTCTAGGTGACTTATAATATATATATTTTTTAATTTCGTCTGACAATCTTATATTATTCCTTTTTCCCTAACGAAATTTTTTTTCTCTTTTTCAGATAAACGTACTGCTGTTCCCGGAAAAAAAGATTCTTACTCTTACTACAATTCTTACTACGATCCTTACTATAATCCTTATACTAATTCTTACTATAGTCCTTACGGGGGTGGCGATAATTATGGTTACGGTTCTAGTGGTTACAAAAAGCGTAATGCCTTAACTAAACGAGGGGACGAAAACGATTACGATTACGATTACGATAACGATTACGATTACGATAACGATTACGATTACGATTACGATTACGATTACGATTCTTATAACGATTACGATTCTTATAAAGATGACGATTATTATTACGAGGATAACGATCACGACGATTACGATAATGATTACGATTCTTATGGTGAATACAAATCCAAGCGTAATGCCTTACCTATAAAACGTGGAAAAGACTCTTACGAATACGGTTACGGTGATCACGATGATTACGATAATTATTACTATGGTTATTATGGTTATAACGATTACGGCGATTACGACGATTACGATAATGATTACGATAATGATTACGATAATGATTACGATAATGATTACGATAATTACGGTGGTTACGGTGGTTACAAACGTAATGCTAAACCTAATCATAAGCGTGGTGCTTTAGCTAGGCGCAGGCATTAATTCCTTCAGAAAGTCGAATAGTCGTGTAGAACGGTTAAATATTAATACGAAATCAATTTTCATAGCATAGTTATCTCATAAATTTTCATAGCATAGTTATCTCATAAACTTTCATATCATGTAACAGCTTCATACAACAGTTTCATACAATAGTCTCATTATTTTATATCTTAGCATTTCATTCATTTTTCTTTATGATGATTTGATCTTTATATTTTCATTTTGTTGCATTGTCAATTTTTTTATATATTTACGTGTATTTCGTAAATAATTTCTGAATTATTTCAAATAAATAAGAGTTTTTCTCTTAAAATAAACCTTTACTGTATTCATACAATTTGCTCTATATTACGTTTTATATCCGAAGTCTTTTTGCTTGTTCGTTCAAGTATCGGCTTGTCTAAAAAAAATAGTTTAATTGTTAAATTTTAAATATTTGATTTGTTATTATAAAACGCATTATTGTTTGAATGTCTATTATACTAATGTTTTAAATATATATATATATTTTTCTCGGTTAGATTTCAGAGTTAAATAGAGCATAATAACCAATTAATTATCAGTTTTAATATAAAGATAATGTATGATAAAATTTGTACTGTGAAAACATTGATGTCTCTAGTATTTGGATTATTTTCCAAAAAATATTCGCGCACTGGGTTCTAGTCAACCACAAGGTATTTTGTTTACGTTTCGACTAATCGGCTAATGTCGATATATTTGTATTAAAATTATAATTTTGCTTACCACAAAAAATATTTTTTTGGATTAAGAAGATTATTCTAATTGATAATACTGCGTATCATATGGTAACTTAATTTATCGTTGTCAGAGTTCCTAAACTGTTTCCATAAAATATTACAAATAAAAATTCTGAAATCAGCAATAAATTCACAATAGTCACGATTGTTGAGGAGAAGCGACACCGACACGAATTACATTAACTACATAATTTTTATGGAAGCAGTCACGCCATATTTCTAAAATAATACCAGTGTGTACCCGTCGCCTGCGTTGACGGTTCTTAAATATGTATTAAATTTAGTAAATTTCTTATATAATGCCTTCATTATTATAAATATTAATTTACTGTTCTCATTAATGGTTTTGTTGACATATATATTGCTGTATCGGTATATTTTGAATAACAGTTATTATTGAGATCTTTTCATGAAAATCTTAAATACGATGAGAAAATGCAGTGAATCAATCAAATATGCAAACCTAATCAAAACTTGACTTTAGAGATGCAAAATCTCAACTGGCTTGTATATAAAGACGATTAATCAATAGAGTCGATGGGCCGATTCGCATTTCTACTTACTCACTTAATGATGCCTGACGAATGAAGAAATCTTTCGTCAACTAAATTTCTGATTGATGAATGATAAAATATATGACGAATGACGAATTATTAAATGTGCACAAATTAGTCCACGCGAAGTTGATTTTTTTTTTTTTTTTATAACATAACTCTATCTATTCCTTTTTTTTGACACACTTGTCTGACATTACCTGACAAAGGCCTTAGCTATCTGGTGATTCCACGTAATGTAAAACTAAAATTAACTTTATATGAGCTTGTTAATTTTTTGTACAATCAACTTAGCAAAAAAAAAAAAAATGTCGTTATAAATTATTAAAATTAAAATTACTATGTTTTCATGTGTACGATAAAACTTTATAATGAAATAACAATAATTTTGAAAATTTTTTAAGATTTAGCAATATTCAGAGGTCATTACGAAGAGGCTCGTGAGGATCAATCTATATTTGATATTTCATTGATATTTCATTGGCTAAATTGATTCGTTAAAGGTTTCAAAAAAGGTTTCATCAAAGGTTTCATCAGACGAATATTTTGACAAAACTATTTTGATATTGTAAAAATAATTTCATCAGTATCACTACTTGAAATTCAAATTTAAAAATTTATGAAGATTTCCTTTGTTCGCATATTGAAGTACATTATACACACATTATTAATTGTGTTTCGAGTTAGCCCGTAAAATTCAGACTATCAGCTATTATTACTCATTAATCTACGTTGTATATAGAATTTAACATCTTAAAGAAAAAACAGCAATAATAAAAAATTTATAAAGTTACCTCCTTTAGAATCGAATTATATATGATTGTTTTGTATATTACTCTATTTTTTTTTTTTTTTATTTTTATTTTTTTTTACCGTTCAACCATGTTGCTAAAAACATTTTACTCTTTACCAATTATTTCAATATTATCAAATCTATCAAAAGGAATTCATTCAATCTCATTTTCATATTTTGTAATTTTGAGTTAACCATCAACCACCTTATTTCCACCTGCTTACTCTTGAGTCATTCTCTTAGGGTCACATGTTGAAACAAGGCTCTTGCAGTATTAGATTTATTACAGCGCAAGCACTTTTTATTCGATTTTTATTCGTCAAATATTATCATGCATTTATTAGTTAAAGTACATATCACGAGTCAATCCATATATTTTTGATTTCGTAAGATTTTCGAACTCATAAAGCATACAAAACGGAATAAAAGGTTTTAAAGTTAACTGGAATGAACAATAGGAATTTAACTTCATTTAAAAAACTCTAATAGACTATGAGAATTACTCCATATACAGTATTAAGCAAAACTGAGGGTTTCTCAATAGGTGCGATCTAATTGGTACAGTATTATGACGGAATTTTAGCTATTTCCTCAACATTGCTAACATCGTATAGAAAACAGAAAGTGGCACAATTCAATCTAGATAGATAATACAGTCAGACCTCTCTATAGTCACCTCCTATATAAGCACATTTTCTATATAAGCATGTTTTTTTAAAAACAAACTATTATTAAATATTATATATTTAACCTCTATAATTGTCACACTTCTTTACAATCACACTTTTTTGTATCCGAATGTGTGATTATAGAGAGGTTTGACTGTAATAAGTACGTATGTACAAGTTCTACTTTAACAGTTGGTAAGTATTCTTTTTTTTTATCCAGTAAGTTTACCTATTTTTAGTAGAATCCTGATTTTTTGCTCGATTATTTTCAACTCGCAATATTTATTCTTTAGTTGGATCAACTACTTTTACTTTATTACTGGTATTTATTTTTAATCCCAAATCCCAAATATATTACAAGATTACGAGATTCATTCCCATCCAACTAGAGATGGGCACGCATAATCCCGCGCGTGATGCGCGGGATTTTTAATATGACCCCAAATAAAATTGTCTGGCCGGCATTACCACATAACCTGGCTGGCATTGATATAATATCTGGCCTGCATTAACATATTTATTACTCGAAAATAACGGGCATGGGCAGGGTTGTTAGTGGTAACTTATCGTGATAAGTTACCGCGATAAATTACGGTAAATTACCATGCAAATGCTCATTTAAAGATTACTTTCATCGGTAACTTACCGGTAACTTACCAATACCCTGGGCATGGGCATTATTTCGAACTTTGGCTCGCACTAAGCTTAATTCGGGCCGAATTTCGAAATAACGCCTATGCCGCTATTTCGAATATTTACAGTAGAACAAGAAAATTGATTTTCAACAAAAATTTTTGCATGGTTTTTTATTAGACACAAAAAATCAAGAAACCCGCAGATTAGTGATCCTATCCCGCGCAGGATTTTTTGAGAAACCATCTCTACATCCAACCACCTTAGCACAAAGAATAATATCATTTATTAATTATATTTCCTACCAAATTTACAAGTACTTTATATTAAAATATTTAAAATTTTAAAATCAGCGATTAAGTAATACAGTATTTATCATAAAGTCTCTCACCTCAAACGAGCGATATAAAAATGACAATTAAATATTCACCCTTCAATTGATTTTAATCACGTTTAGTATATAAGTATAGTATAAACATTATTCATTTACTAAATATATATTTACTGTTATATGTTATCCTTTAATTTCGTTAAATTAGTATTTATTAAAGACAAAGTGGCGAAGTCTCAACCGCTAGTTTTCCTAAGAAAGGATGTTTATTTAAATAAAATTTTCCAATTTATTAAATACCATGATGGAAATTTCTGATAAATAAGGTAATAAATTTGAATATCTCTACTTCGTATAAGAATAATAAGATTAATTCTAAGAAATAACAATAATTCTATAAAAGGTAAATAAAACACTAAAACTGAATCGCTCAATCAAAGAACAGTACAAATATAAAAGTTTCATAATTTTACCATAAAATTCTCCACTTATCAAGAAGCTGTTCTTGTGATTTCATGATACATATAAATGTTATAAATGTATAATATAACTTAAATCTATATACGTATCAAATAATAATAATAATAATGATAAATAAAACATAATGATTTATTTTTGACAAACTTCAATCATTTCGTATTTAGTTGATCCATTAGCGTAACTTCATTCACCCACAAGCCACTTAAGTATTCATTTGTTTTGACTTTGTACGGTAAAGTAAAATATCATTACGACCTATTACGGAAGTTGCCCCTATTAAACGAAATGGCGTTTGACAAATATATTTTAGATTATTTAGAAACTGTTTAATGAAGAAATATCCTTTGTACATTTTAAGTCATGAAAACATATTTTATTATTTCAAGATTCGAAATCAACTTAAGTTGGATCCAAAAATCATTTAAATGGATTTCGAAGCTACAAATTTCAGAATTGACCTACAATATATATAAGTTAAAAAGCTTTAAATAAACCATACTAATATCTAAGTTAAGGTAAAAATAGCTATAATATACAATAATAATAATAAAAAGAGTACTATTGAATAAGCACCATAACTATGATATTCTTACAATAGAAATTGCGATAAATAATTCAATAGCCGATCTACTTATACAAGTCCTTTGAATACATTTTAGTTACAGTTAAAGTCTATATCGAGAAAAGTCTTTAGATTGTAAATCCCATAGGCCAGCATTAACTCCACGATTAGAATGTAATGTTATATCAGCATAGTTCTTTCCAGAAGTTTGCGTAGAAGAATCTAATTTAGTCTCCTTAACAATTTGAGGTTGATATATTGTTTGTTGCATTACTTCAAGAGAACTTAATGAACGGCAATGTTTTGAAATAGCTCTATCTAAAAATGTCTTTGGTGTTTGGTTATTTTTAAATTTTGTCTTTTGTTGGGGTTTGTTAGGTAATGAATTTGAACGTTTTATTCCAAGCTTAAGTTTATGTTGATAATTGTAATTACCAGGTTTAATACGTTTTATTTTAAGTTCAGTAGAATATGTCTTTGGTGTCTGAATAATTTTAAATATCTGATCGCTAGGTAATTTGAAACTCTCCATTTCAAGCTTGCACTCTTGCTTTTGGCGTTTCACTTCAAGTTCATTAGAAACTGTTTCTGGTGTTTGATTTTTAAATATACTTTTTCCCATTATTGAATAGAACGAAATAATGAAAACCCTATATTTTAACGAAACTATTTATTAAATATTTCTTTTGCTTAGATATATATATCACTGTAAACGGTTTTTGTATAGAGAATTTGATTCGTTAAAGTTAATAGACTGGAACTAAAGTACAATAAATTAAAAATGGAAATATAAAAGATTAAAATGAAAATGTCTAATCGTATTACGACTTTATTAGTATGTCATCAAATAGTAATGATTTTTTTTTAGTATGATTTTTTCTCCATAAATTTGTCTCTGTATAATCAAAATGAGACAGAATGTGCAATTTTTATATTTTTCACTCTTTAATACGGATGTTCACACTCCGGGTTTACTTGTAATTGTTACAATACTTTTTATGTCCTCGCTTTTTTTCATTATTTTATCTAAGAGATAGTGGAGTTAATGATCCGGTACTGTAACATGGTTACACTAGATCGACTCAGAAAAGTCGAGAATATGCACCTCGTATATTCTATAGATTGGTGTCGTCACACAACCTACTATTTTGAAGCATATATACTTACTATTTTATCGGTTTGTTATACGATAGAATAAATTCCGAGTAGAATACGACCGGAAAATTAAATTTTATTTACACATAGAAATTTCTTAAAAAATATTAACCTGATTTTCATAACATCGGTAACAAAGTATTTTGGTCGGTACAGTACCACGCACAAAAAGCAATACGAAAATGTCCCTTTAAAAATTACTAATAAGGTGTAATGAACGGATTAAGGTTGTGCTTAATACTATTCGTCCTGTTGTTACTCTTTTTTATATTAGAATACGGAGTTTTACTAATGCTAAACCAAATATGATATTTTAAAATAACAATGAGCTTAGATATACGCATTAATAATTATGGAAGCGGTCGGCTAATTACAACATCATGAATTTATCGTTATGTTTAGACTCGTGGCTTAACCGACCAGCCGATAATAGTAATAGCGGTCAAGTATAATAATAATGTCAAAAAATTTTCAGTAATGATTTAATTAAAGGATCTGCAAGTTGCAGGACATATGTTTTGTGAAAAGAGATAGTTTTCACCTATAAGCTAACACTTATATCTTACAATTTAATTGGTATTATTTTTATAACAAAAAAATTCTGTTATTTCATATTTTTATACTATTTATGTTTTTTTCCTTTTACGCCAAAAATTTTTGAAGTATCTTATTTTGAAAATGGCGTTTTGAGACTATCGATGAAATCAAA